AGGCTACTTACCAACTGAAACAAGACAGGCCACAGCCTCTGTCAGCAGAAGAGTGCACATTGAAAACCAGGCTACTCACACCCTGAAACAAGACAGGCCACAGCCTCTGTCAGCAGAAGAGTGCACATTGAAAACCAGGCCAACTCACTGTCTGTTGCCAAAGTATGTATCTTCAGAAGAGTGCATTATAAAATATATCACAACTCACCTCCTAGAACCAACATCGCCAAAGTATATCTTTTAGAACTGTGCAAAATAAAATGCAAGGAAGCATACTTTCTAAAATGAGAAATGCAGATCATGATTACCCAAACAATCGACAAGGAAAGGAAAGGTCAGTGAATAACAGATTCAGTCAATAAAGGAACAACTCACTAACTAAGTAATGGTAGGTTCCACAGAGAATTTAATCAGAACCAAGTTATCTCAGAAAGTTTGTCATCACTTACCCACTACAAAAATCTGTGAAAGCTATACAGAGACAATGTGAAGAAACTATATCTTACCTTCTGGATTTACAAACAAGCACATTAGCTGTATAAGTAGCTGGATCAACAGTTACTACTCACTCCCTGAAAGCAATGGCCAGCTGATGATATGACACATATCATGCAAAATAATTGCCTACATACTAATGACAACCATTAGGGTATATAAACCTGGAAGAATTGTAGACATACACTCTGCAAGAAAAGCAACAGCAAGAGTAAAAGTCTGATTTGCTTGGTATTGTTTTCTTCTTACATTCTGTGCTTTATCAACAGCAATAAAATGTTGTTATGTCTTAGCTTACATTCTGCAAAAAAGGTCAATATTTTATTTTGACACCATTTAGTCATTAATTATTCCCACATACCTCCTATTTGTTTTAACATTAATATTTGAGCAGCATTATTTTTCCATCACGTACTTTCTATTGGAAGATCTCAATGAATCAGTGAGGATCTCTTGATTAAAAACTCCTACATTCCAGAAAACAATAACTTCTTCAAATATCTTTGTCACATTATTTGCAAAAATTGGTTTCTCCAATGTCTTAGATATGTTGAGAGCGTGATACTATCTGAAAATTGTGATGACTCACTTGAAACAGAGCTGTTACCTCTTTCTGGCTGTCTGACATCTTCCAAATGTCAGTCAGCATGGTATTATACCATGTCTTAGCCTGAAAAGTTAGCAAATTTCTAATGAGGGTTACCAAAGAAGTGATGATTGTTTCATCTGCATTTAATGCCTCCTTTCGAAGTCCTAGAAGAATATGGTGTGGCCAATTAAGGCAAGCATATTTGGCCACATGACCCTCAAAAAAGTCTTCTGCAGAGTCTTCTACCAGATGCCTCAAACAGTGTATGCCCAGATAAAGGTGTCGCAGAGGAGGATCAATGAAATATTGCCCTGATCGTGATTTGAGGGTCAAAAAATCTCGGAGAGAGGTGTGATAGAGCATAATAGGCTGATTATCATGTCCTGGAATTTTAACAATTGACTGTACCCCCAATAGCTCAAGAATAACCTCCTCATGCTGAAGATTGAGGAGGGAACTGAGAAAATGGATAGATTGGTAGTCCTCCAGAATCATGATTGTTCCAAGAATCTCATAAAGAGCTGCTGTCCCAGAAGCAGATGAAAGAACTTGTGTATAGAGTGGATCCAGACCATCAGCTCCAGACTCCAACAGCTGTTGCAATGCTTTGTGTGGCATGGAATTTCCTCCAACAAACTGGATTAATGTCATAGCAAATGCAAATGAGCTGCCAGCCTTGTTGAGAAGTTCAGTAAGATCTCTAGCTGATGGCCAGGGCTTTGGTATCTTCTGCATCATCAGACGATTCTTGTGTAAGATACAAGCGAACTCCCTTTCAAAGTATACTTGAATGTCTGAACGAGCATCAAAGTTCCCCAAGTCCAGATGGTTCAAAGGTCGAGCCTCAGAATCATCCATTTTTTTCCGAATGTGCTCCTCCACCCTGCTGGTAAGGAGTATTCGGAAAGGAAGATAGTTCCCTCCAGGAAGTGCATTGAGCAAAACATCAATGAAGGCTGCCACTTCAGCCCTATCATTACATTCATCCAGAGCATCAATAACAAAGATCTTTCGTTTTGCGAGATGAGAGAAGACTAGGAGTTTGGAAGTGGTGGAATGGATTGGTTCTATGATCAGCTTCTGGAATTGGTGAGCCAAAGAGACAGATGGCCCAAGCATGGCGGGCTCATCCCGAAGAGCCTTCTCAAGCAAAGGCTTGACAGCAGGAACGGAAAGGGAGATCTGATGTGCAAGAGTAGGAATCAAGCGAGATATATGACTCCGTTCACCAGCGCCTCGAAGAAAGAAGAAGCTCCCTAGAAGGCGACCTTTTGCGGCGTAGCGCTCAGCAACAGTTTGAGCCACCGCTGACTTTCCATAGCCAGCTGGTCCGCTGAGCCAGCAGATAGCTCGCTTGTCAGAGCCGTCAAGCCACTCCTTAATCTGAGCGATGACCTCTAAACGGGTTCCGGGATCACATCGAGCAACGTGACCCGCGCGAGTATGGGTGGCGTCACTGACGGGCCTAAGCAAGCCCGGAAGACCTAGATGCCATGAACAATTTGATAGTATTGGCAAATTCACAGAAAACCTGACATACCTGCAGGAGGAGGGGCCAGAGAGCCATGAAGAACGACGTCGCGGCCGGCGTTAATGAGCTGTGCGTTTCCAGAGATGTTGGTTCCGATAGCGTTTTGCAGGAGGGCGGGTGATGCGGAAGGTTCCATGAGTGCAATGATGTGTTGTAATATGAACACTAGGAAAGGTTGAAGGGCTACAGATGTCGATAGGTCGGGTGGTCGTCGTGGTCGATGATGAAGAGGAGAGAGAAGTTGGACAGCATTCGTTGTCGGAATCCTAATCGGGCGACGAAACTCCTTCGCACGGAGGTCTGCTTCAAATATGCCGCTCTCAGATACCGAAGCAGACCAACGCCAACTCGCACTACTGAGCCAACTCTTGTGACCAGCTCCCGCGAGATTGTACTATCCCGCCGGCTCACTTGAAAACGGATCTCAAGTCTACCTGCGGCGAGCGTTCTGGGGCGAAATCCAACATTCGCGGGGCACCCAAATTGGGATCCGAAGGATGAGTTCACAATTCCAAAGGAACGACCAGTCCGTCTCCCCCAAAACCTTTCGCTGTAAGACCTTCTTTCTATCCCTCACCACTAGAGCTCTCAGACTCGCATAACAGTTTGAATAGCAGTCCACTTCTGACAGAAACATGTCTACCCTCCACCGATCAAAAGCGAACCTTGCTATGATGTCAAAGGAAACGAAAGGATGGGCAAGAAGCCTGACGGGAACAGAGCACTCACCCAGAATCGATGTCTCCTTAAATCGATACTCGTCCCTCACCCCATTAGCAGCCGTCCAGCCCTATTCCCCTCACACCTGCTGTCTCCGTTCTCCCAATACACGTATTTATTTTCCGCGAAACACGCGAGCAAAAGGCGAAGCATCGTCTAGAACTACTATCCATCCCCATCCCCATCCCCGCGCTCATTCGTTCGGCCTCAACCTCCAGCTCTTCCATCCCCCAGCGATGGCTCAAGACCTCCCCTTGCCTAACTCAACTTCGGCTCTATCTCCCCTCTCGTACACCCCGGAATCCTCATGCAGACGCCTACCGCAATGTAGTATCCTCATGGTCTGCAGACTGCGTTTCTCAGACAGACGGCCTTCCGTTTGTTAGCCGTCTTTTCACGGGATTGGAACGTCGACTAGCCTCGCACTCGATGGAAATGACGCGGGTGGGAATGGAGAGTCACCATGTAGCCGATGATATTCCCCCCTCTCAGATCTCTTTGAGCTGAGGTGGATTCGCAATGCGAACGGACCGGAGAAGCTCTGGTCCAAGCACTGCGGGACGACATCCGAATTTTAACCCCCCTCAAACCCGATGTCGATGCTGGTGGTGACCTGGAGCTCCTTGACTTCGTCACAATTCGTGAAGGTCAACGAAGAAGCACGGCAAGGGTTGAGGTTTTTCTGGTGGTCGGACACTGGCTATCATCAAAAGTAGTGAGAAGGCGATCTCAACAGCTCCGCGGACATCTACGTCCACACGCATGGATGACATTCCCTCAAACTCAACAGATCACGTTGGTCAAGTCCCTCCTACCACTATCCACGACAACACAGCTTTCCTCTCCCCACTCACACTGCTACCTCACCAGCAATGCTCTTCCAGCGCAATCTGACGGTCATTCTTGGATCTTGTTCCCTTTGACTCGTTTACATTGTTTTCGGGTACCTCTACCCTGGTGATACCAGCACCTTCTCAGCCTTTTTTCTTTAAGACGCTGGGATGCACGCTCAAAAGAAAGTCGACCTCTACATACTCTCTGATTGAAGAAGTGACGTCCGTATGCTCTCTCGATACCCAAGGAAGCTTCTCCCACCTACGGCCACGGCCCACGCGCCCACGGAAAAGGTGTACACTTTCTGCTACCCTACCTTTATAACTGCTTTTCATGACCCAATCAGCGGCATAGCAGCTCGCCTCGTACGCCTTGCAAAAGCTTCACCAATATGAGCGACCCTTTCATCCGATTCCACAACAAGGATGGCCCATTTCGGTGGAGCTGGTTTCTGCGCGCGGTCAAAGATGCCGATCAGGCTGAGGTGTCGACAAGAGCCTTACCGGCAAGCTGAGTTTTATCGAGGTTTTCTAGGCTCGTCGGTGAAGGTGATGACGATGCGTGAAGGCGCACTCACGGGTCGTTGCTATCTTGGCTCAATTGTTGATTTTTTTTGAGTAGGTCTATCTCATTCCTGTAAGTTATAACGGCTGTAGCTAACGAGTCAGCCGGCTCTCGCAGGACGAGAAATATCAGTATAGACCTTATCATCACCTTTTTTACTGCAGTCCCTCTATGTTTTGAACCAATACACACACTCTCCCTTTCTCTTTTTCCCTGAATTGATGTTACTGCAACACCAAGCGTCAAACGAATCCTTGTCAATGATGGATGACAACCCAGTTCCTGCAACACCCCTCAAACGCGCCGAATATCGTGCAGGATCGCGGCGTCGGACAGGGGGAGGCACAAGGTGAACATCCCGTTCTTTCTTTCGTGAATATCGGTCTGATGACGACTACAGAAGTTAGAAGAGACGTGTCATCACCGTTGTCAACCTTACCCAAATACGATAACCGCGGATACACGTCAGAATATAGCCGGGAGAACGACGGGACGACATCTGATTCTTTGACCTCAATTGCAGGCGAGGTTAGTAAGTTATGCACAATCTACTCGCAATGTTGTTTGACACGTCATAATAGCCCACAAAACTAATCATCAACAATCCCATCTCCAAAGTAATGCCCTCCATATCTTCGTCGCTATGTAGGCTGGGATGGGTCGCGTTACGCCCACTGGGAGCGACTCCATCGTCAGAACTTGCACGAGAGGTGTAGCTCAGAGGGCGACTTATGACACTGGACGATATACTTCTACGACTCGGCCGATGCTCCGAGCTGAACGCACTGGTTCCCGGCGAGAAGACGTGGAATCTGCGAAGGGACATGAGCGTTGCTTACAGTGTGTCTCGGCGCCTGTTTGGTTCCTGGAGGCAGTGGCTGTTTGGAACTTGGAGGTTAACCGCCAGACGCTCAAGCGTTCACACCCAAGCGCCTAGGCGCTTATACCAGAACACCACCAGGCCGTATAGGCTGTATGCTCTCCACGCAAATTTTGAGAAGGGATGTAGTTTTTATCTGGCAAGTTGGAAGGCTCAGCGCTCATCATTTGACCATGAAGGAAACCGAAAAAACATCCAAAAAGCTTTGCCTCTCAAACGCCTATGCAGATCTCTCGAGGTCCCACTCGGATATGAGTCCGACGGATTGACTCTGTCCTCGCGAAACGCGTACCTTACCGCAGACGAGGAAGGTCGCGCCAACGTTGCATCAAGCTCTGCAAGCTACCTATCGTGTTTGACAGGGCGGCCTTACCAAGGTGGAATCTGTGAGGGCGGAAATAACACTGGTCGAGGACGCGAGGCTGGCAGTGCCACCTGGAGGTGGATAGCAATGGCGAATTCTGTCCTGCAGCGTTCTAGCTAGTGTTTGGGCGACATTGAAAGGTGGGCGAGTACACCCGCAAGTGAGATTCGATTGTGAAGGTGTTCGCAATGAAAATAAATAGTTGCACAAAATTTGTCTTCTTCTGACAACCACCACAATCAAATATAGTTTTCTTGACTCTTCTAACCATTTCTTGGCTATTTCATGGACAACAACGGCTTTGATTATAATGCTCTCAGAGGTATCAATCCAAAGTTCTCAATGTCACAGACATCGAATCCGTCGACGACGAAAGTCAAGCCGAAGACATTCTCAATGACGCAGGGTAGGCCACTTGTACAGAACCCCAAAATCAGCTCGACACACAACGCAAGTTCCTTCAAATTTGCCCTATTCAAGAAACCTGAAGCCTTGGCCATACCTGACGCGTCGCGACGATCCGTGTTTTCTTTCCAAGCGCCACAACGAACACAGGCTGAGGGTTCATCGCAGAGGCGCCTATCGGCACCACTATGTACAACGTCCTCAAAAAATGCCATTCGAAGCCATCATCTACACTGCATACTCTGGCTGCTCAGGTGCGTACACTGTTGACGTTGCGCACCACTGTGAGTTTGGAACATGTATTTGGATTCTGGAGGTGGTCAGAACTTTCTCTTTCTTTGATGAATATCGGTCTGATGACGACTGCAGAGGGAAGAAGAGACGCGTCATCGCCGTTGGCGGCCTCACCCAATTATGAAGGCCGTGCATACATCCATCCAGCATCGCATAAATCACCGCCAAATCGTCCTTCACCTACCGCTTCACACAGAGCAATAGAATTCTCTCCAAAATATAGCCGGGAAAACAACAGGACCGCATCTTTGACCTCGATTCCAGGCGAGTCGGGTAAGTTATTCACTATCTACTCGTCGGATGTTGTTAGACACGTCGTAATAGACCACAAAACTGGTCGTCGACGATCCCCCGTCTTATCTGGAGCGCATACATCTTCTTCGCCTCCGCCTTCACGGCCCAGCTCGCGGTCTCAAGCCGTTTTTCCGCGATCAAAAAATGAACTAGGTTTTGCTTCGATCCCAGATACGTCCCTCAAACCACAACAAACTCCACCCATTGCGAAAAGGGATGTCAAGCGAGCTTTTAGCGATCTCCTTGAGCATGCACGTTCCTTTATGGTTCTTTTCTGTGTCCGTTCTTTGAACCTTTCTTCCAGAACCATCGCTACGAGGCTCTCTTTGCGGAATCTATCGCGCTGCAAGCCCAAAAGGAGTATTTATCTCGGATGCGCAGTGCGGCCACGAAGGATCTCAAGTCTGTGCGTGAAGAACTTTCCGCTACAGCAGCGCAGTTGGCCTCTGCTAGGTCGGAGCTCGCCGGCGCTCTCCCACTGTTGAAATCAACGGAAAATGAATTAAGCACCGCCAAGTCTGACCTCGCATCAACACGCTCGAATCTTGCGGATGCCGTCGCCGAAATTTCGTCCCTCAAAACTTCTTTGGAGCAAACGGTGCATTCTTACGAACAGGAAAAGTTGGGAAAGGAAGTAGCCGAGAAGAGGCTCGTCACGGCGAAGCAAGGTCTGGCGACTCTCCGAGAAAAGTAAGTTATAAATCGATTCCTGTAGCTTCTTACTTATGCTAGCTTCAATAGCTACGAGTCACTTCATTCTTCCTTCGTTGCTCTTGGAAAGTCTCATGAGGCTTCAGCAGCTTCGCTTTCACAAGCTGTCGCCGAGGCGACTGAGATTAAGCGGTCTGCAGCGGATGCCTTGACCAATAAGGTTGCTTCAACGGGGTTTCTTTGCAATGTTGACGACGTCTCCGCCACTATTAGGTGTCAAACCTCTTCTTGAAGCAGGCGGTGGCCTTTCTCGCGCATCTGAAATGAGAGACACCATTCAAGAACTCCAGGGAGAGTTGGGGTCATGTAAGCTCGTTCCCCCTCTTCATAGAATCATTCGTTGATCCTCTACAGCCCAGCGTGTGACTGATCTCCTCCGAGACAAGCTCCACCACCTATCTTCCCAGCTCGCGGATGCGCAAGCCCGGATCAAAGATTTCGAAGATACGGAGCGCGGGACGCTGAGTGTTCTTCGTGATCGCCTGGACGATAAGCGGAGCTTGGAAGTTTTGTGCAGTGTCGGTGAGCATTTCTGTGAGCTGCCTTTGCTCCTGTATGGACAATTAAGCTTTTCTCTTCATAAGGAACCAAGGTAGAAGGCCTGACGGACCGTATGGCAAAGCACGAACGGGAAAGTATCGACGCCCTTGCCAAAGCAGCTGGTGTAGAGGCAAAGCTCATTGCTGTCACTCATGAGTAGGCTCTACTTTTGTGTTGGAATCCTACGGGACGCGTGAACCATCTTTTAGATTGCAAAATCTGAAGACGTCTTCATCAGCAAACCTGCTTGAGCTGCTTGAGCTGAGGGTCATCAAGGAGGAGTGAGCGTCCTCACCTATCTCTTGCATTCACGTCCGCTTACTGCCTTTTTGACAGGGGTCTTTCGAAGTTGCTTGCATCTCAAGAAGTCATCAACGCCAAGGACAAGGAGATTATCGGTTTAAAGGCGGAGGTCAAGGCTCTTGGCGAATCGAAGGCTGAGTTAAGAGCACTGTTAGTTTCCTCTTTTTTCCTTGTTTTGGTGGACTTACGCAACACACACTATCAGGGTTGCGGAAGCTAAGAAGGCGGTCGCGGAGAAAGACCACGAGCTCAGAGCTAGGGATTCGTAAGTGATGGCGACGTTCTCTCTTGTGCCTTTAACGATAATCTGTTCAGGAATAGCTTGGTTGAACAAAAGGTCGTGGACCTGACCTCACAAGTCGTTTCTGCAGAAGCGTCGTTAAAGATGTACGTCACTCATTCAGCATCTTCATGCCTTTGTAACGCCGTTTTCTAGAACAAGAGAGTGGCTCGCACTGGCTCAATCCGAAGCTCGTGAGCGTAAAGAGGAAAGCAACATTCTGAAGACAAAGGTCGAGAGCCTTGAAGTTGCTCGTGCCGAATGGCACGGCTACCTTTTCATTACGTTTCACTCTCCCCGTTGTTTGATACCGTTATATTAGGGAGGGTCTGAATTCTAAGTTACAAGCACAGATTCAAGAGCTTAGCACAAAAGAAGCTCTGGCTGTACGGACGACCCAACTTGTTCAAGCTGAGATCAAGCGAGTCACAGCGGAAGCCAAGAAGGCCGGTGAGGAAGCGAGTAAAACTATCGACTCGTATGTCGCTTCTTTTCTGACGTTAGTACTGGTGAAAACTGATGCTTTTTTCCCTATCTTCAGGCTTCGTCAAGGGCATCGTCGGTTGGAGGTCGCCAATAACTTGTACTTTGCATATTCATCACTGACATTATTTTCAGAAGTGGTTGGATGAGCAAGATGCGGCTCTAGTGGCAGCAAATGACATCAACAACGCACTCCAGGTGATGGATTCGTTGCGCTAGCGACATGCGTACTCTACTGACGTTATCATGAACAACACAGACTAAATTGGATGAGCAGACGGCTGCTTTAACGCTAGCCAAGGACCAAATCACCGCGAATGAGGTGAAGTCTGCCATTTGATCATGATATGTCAGTGATTGTTGATATACTTCGACCTCAGGCGGGCGTTCAAGAGATCGTTCACAACCGCAGGACGGAACTCGCCGTTGCCCATGAGCAGAAACTCGCGCTTGAGCGTGAGACCGCGAACCTCAAAGCCCCCTTCAATCAACTTACTCGGGAATCCGCCGCATTGCTGGCAGCTGCTCAAGTGGACTTTGAGAAGAAGTTGAACAAGCAGGAGAAGGCCAACGAGCGACTTGTTTCGGCGCAAGAAAAACGCGCCGTTGCCGCTGAGAAGCCGGCCACGCTGGCGGAGAATGACGCTAAAGAAGCGAAAACGGCGAGGGAGGAGATTGCTGGTAGGCTTGCATTGGCGGAGATGTCTGTGATTGCGATTGCCGAGGATGGCGAGGCTGCGGCGACGAGGGAGTCTGGGCAGATGAAGATCATGAAAGCTCGAGCTGAGGAACTGGAGGCAAGAATGGGCGAAATGACGAAGCATGCGGAAACGCTTTTGGGTCGGTACCATGATGCGAACTTGGTAAGGTCATTCTCTTGTGAACTCATCTAGACTTGATCTCAACCTTTGTAGACCGATCCTGAGAAGGACTTGGTGAATCAAGTTATCTTACAAAAGCAAACGAGTTACGAACAGGACGTCGTTGCTAAGGACAATGAGCTGCGAAGAGTTAGCATTGTCATATGTGTGTTCAAACCTACTGACATTGATCTCTAGCGTGAACACCTCGCAACTGACCTCCATGGTCGAATCCACTCTTTGGAGGCAGCATTGGCGCAGATGCTCAAAGAGAAGGCCAAGAGTGCTGGGCCTGACGCGAA